CCCCCCCCAGGCCAACCGTGTCCTGTCCTGGGAACCCCTCCTTACCCCAAGGACAACCATGTCCTGTCCTGGGACACTCCCACCTCCCTGGGCCAACCGTGTCCTGCCCCGGGAACACCCCGCCCCAGGGGCCAACTGTGTCCTGCCCTAGGAACCCCTCCCCCGCAGGCCAACTGTGACCCTGCCCTGGGAAACCTCACCCCCAGGCTAACTGTGTTAACTCCCCCCCACACACACACAAGCCAACCATGACCCAACCCCTATCACACACCCCCTCAAGGCCAGCCATGACCCCACCCAAAACATGCGCCAACCTGACCCTGCCCTATGGGGCCTTGCCTGGGACCAGCCCCTGCCCCCACTGCTGCTAGGCGCTGGTTGCTAGGATGGGCAGGTGGTGTGCGGGGAGGGGGGTGAGGGAATCTTTCTGGCTTCCAACCCAGGAGCATCCCAGCCTCGTGGGGTTCCCGTGCCACCTCTGACCTCTGTAGCTCAAGACACCCCATGGGAGAGGAGGGTGGAGCTGGCCTTGGGCAGGCAGCAGTGGAGACCCGCCTTGTCCTGCCACTCATGGCCCCTTGCTCCCTCCATGTCCAGAGTTCAGTGAAGGGCAATACGACCGGGGGCGTGACTCCCTGGCCCAGATGGGCACCAGCACCATTCTGTTTTTGATGGTTGACAGGGCAGCGAGCACTGGGGACTGGGGTGTCTGGGCTCTGCTCCCCAAGAGCCCTGGACTGGCCTCTCCTGTAAGCCAGGCTCCAGGGGGTCAGAAGGGGTGTCCCGCCCTTCCCAGACCAGTCAGTCATGGAGCTCAGATGTGTTCCTGGCGGGGCCGTGCACATCTGTGTGGGGCCAGGGATGGGCTGGTCAGGATTGGGAGCTTTAGGGGAGCGGAGTCCTAGAAGTTTTTTCTGTTGTAAAGTGGGGTGGCAGTCTGCAAAAGGCGAAGAAATAGGGTCTGAAATGTTGGGGTCTAAATTAGCTGTTACCACTCAAGAGAGAGATCTTGGAGTCAGTGTGGGTAGTTCTCTGAAAACATCCCCTTAGTGTGCAGCGGCCATCAAAACCGCGAACAGAATGTTCAGAACCATTAGGAAAGGGATAGAGAATAGGACACCAAATATCGTATGGCACAATACAAATCCCTGGTACCCAACACCTTGAACACTGCCTGCAGTTCTGGTTGCCCCATCTCACAAAAGAGATATTAGACTTGGAAAAGGTGCAGAGAAGGGCAAGAAAAATGATCAGCGGAATGGAACAGCTTCCATATGAGCAGAGATTAAATCTGGGACTGTTTAGGCTGGAAAAGAGCCGACTAAGGGGATATGACAGAGGGCTGTAATCACGACCGGTGTGTGGAAAGCGAAGAGGGAAGTGTTATTTACCCCTTCACATAACATGAGAACCAGGGGTCACCCAATGAAATTAACAAGCGGCAGGTTTAAAACACACAAGGAAGTACTTCACACGACACACCTGTGGAACTCATTGCCAGGGGATGTTGTTCAGGCCAAAAGTACAACTGGGTTCAGAAAAGACTGGACAAGTTCCTGGGGACAGGTCCATTAGTGGCTCTTACCCAAGATGAGCAGGGACCCCCAACCCCATGCTCTGGGTGTCCCTAGCCTCTGACTTCCAGAAGCTGGGACTGGAGGCAGGGGATGGAGCACTGGCTACTTGCCCTGTTCTGTTCATTCCCTCTGAAGCCTCTGGCATTGGCCACTATCGGAAGACAGGATACCGGGCTAGATGGACCCTTGGTCTGACCTAGTGTCGCCATTCTTATGTCCTAGGCCAAAAGGGCCTGGGTCTGGGGGTGCAGGACTCAGCCAAGCTTCCCCGTCCCCAGAACTGCAATAGGAGCTTTCACTGGGTGTTTCAAGGACAAGGGACAGAAAGGGTTTTTTTTAACAGAAGGAAGCTGAGATTCTCCTTCACGGAGGATGCCCCGCTGCGGGGACTGGACGCCTCCCTCCCCGCTGCCCGGCAGGGGCTGGGCCCCGCTCGGCGCCTCCCTCCCGGCTGCAGTCTCCGGGCTCCCGTCAGGGGGCAGCACTGGCCTTGCGAGCCCCCGGCTCGCCGCTGGCTGGGCCGAGCCGCCGCTGCCTGCCCGCGCCCGGAGGATGGAGCTGCGGCTCCCCCAGCCCAGCTGACGTCTCCCCGCCTGGGCGTGTGCACCAGGCTCGCTCTGCCCCGCCGGCACCTGCCCTGGGGCGGCCATGGGGGAGCAGCGGCCGGCGGCCCCGGCGTCCTGCGGCTGAGCCCGGCTGCGGGGCAGGGAGGGGAGCGGAGCGGAGCGCCCCCGGCAGCATCCCCAGCCGCGCCCCCGGCGGAGCTCGGACCCGCGGCCGCCTCCCACCCGCCGGCTCTGGCTGCGGCGAGCATGTGCCCAGGGGAGCCGGGCCGGGCGCCCGGGCAAGGGCGTTTGAAGGGAACCTGAGCAGGGCGCTTCCCCGGCAGGATGGAGGCAGCGCCGGGCACGGAGCCCCGGAACAGGGCGCAGGGCGCCGACCCGCGGGACAAGCCCCAGGCGCTGGACGGGGCGGCCCCCGGGCGCCCCGAGGGTAGCGTGGGCTCTGGGCCAGGCCAGCCGCCCAGCGCAGTAACCCCGGGGGAGGCGCCCGCCTCGCAGCCCGGGGCCGGCAAGGCGGAGGCGGCGGAGCAAATCCTGTCGGACGCCGAGGACCCCGCCGCGCTAGCCGGCACCTTCGTGCAGCGCCAGCTCGGGGCCATGCTGCAGCCCGCGGTCAACAAGTTCTCGCTGCGCATGTTTGGCAGCCACAAGGCGGTGGAGCTGGAGCAGCAGCGGGTGAAATCGGCCGGGTCCTGGATCATCCACCCCTACAGCGACTTCAGGTGAGGGGGCCCTGGCCCCTCCTGCGAGACCTGCCTGTTTGCCGGCCACCCCCTGCCCCCATCCTCCCTGGCCGGCCACCCCCTGCCACCCAGCCAGGCCCTACCCCTCCCCATCCACCCCTACAGCGACTTCAGGTGAGGGGGCCCTGGCCCCTCCTGCGAGACCTGCCTGTTTGCCGGCCACCCCCTGCCCCCATCCTCCCTGGCCGGCCACCCCCTGCCACCCAGCCAGGCCCTACCCCTCCCCATCCACCCCTACAGCGACTTC